GTCCAGTCCCTGTACGATCGGAGTAGGAGCTTGGTTCGCATTGCCGGCAGTAAGTCGGACCTGTTCCCGGTGCATGTGGGACTACGGCAGGGCTGCCCCTTGTCCCCGGGTCTGTTCATTATTTTCATGGACAGAATTTCTAGGCGCAGCCAGGTGTCGGGTGGGGTCCAGTTCGGTAGCCACCGGATTTCATCTCTGCTTTTTGCAGATGATGTGGTGTTGTTGGCTTCTTCGAACCAGGACCTGCAGCATGCACTGGGGCGGTTTGCAGTAGAGTGTAACGCAGCTGGGATGAGAATTAGCACCTCTAAGTCCGAGGCCATGGTTCTCGACCGGAAAAAGGTGGTATGCACCCTTTGGAGTTGGGGAGGAAGTCCTGCCTCAGGTGGAGAAGTTTAAGTATCTTGGGGTCTTGTTCACGAGTGACGGTAGGATGGAACGTGAGATTGACAGGCGGATCGGTGCAGCGGTCGCTGTATCGGTCCGTTGTGGTGAAGAAGGAGCTGAGCCGAAAGGCAAAGCTCTCGATTTACCGGTTGATCTACGTTCCTACCCTCACCTATGGTCATGAGCTCTGGGTCATAACCGAAAGACCGAGATCCTTGATACAAGTGGCTGAAATGAGCTTTCTCCGCAGGGTGGCAGAGCGCTCTCTTAGAGATAAGGTGAGGAGCTCTGTCACACGAGAGGAGCTCGAAGTAGAGCCGCTGCTCCTCCACATCAAGAGGAGTCAGCTGAGGTGGCTTGGGCATTTACATCGCATGCCCCCCAGACGCCTCCCGAGGGAGGTTTACTGTAGCTCACATCTGAACAAAATGCATCCCTTAACTATGTAAGCACAAATACAGTACACATAGTTGAGCCCACATTTGTAGATGCTTATTGGTGGCCAAAATATGAATGTATACAGGAGTAAATATTTTTGTGTTGCGTTTCATTCTATTCTATTAATTTTATCAAAACCTCCCTTCAGCCTCAGAACTTCTATTGACTATTGACATTATTGACATTTTACTGACATGTTAAACAGAATGAGGAGCAGCATAGCTCTGTCCTTTTCCTGTATGGAGTCAATGGTTATAGACTGAATCACCTCCAGAGAAAATTACATGACCTCAAGGAAAGAAAAAAACAAAACAAAACAGAAGTTTGTTGCAGCATTACTTATTACCCTCATTCAGACTGTTTCCACATTGAGCTTTAAGGAGCTTGTGAGCACCATCAACATGGATGAATTTATAGCTTGGCTCTGACATACTATTGAGGCCTCACTAGAGCCATGAGCCATGAGTCTTTCTTTTAGCCTAGTTTAATCCCTGTATTTCTCAATAGTGCAGTTATTTTCAGCTGAATGCAATGTCCTGGTTCAATTTTGTTCATACATTGTTCTTCTACATTAAGCAACAATGTTACACCTCCAACTCTGGTGGGACGAGACCTTGCTTTCACCCGTTCTCTCTTCAAAGCTTACCTTTGTTTGTTGGATAAGTGACACAGTGGGAATATAAGTGTGATTAGATAAAATGGCCAGGAGCCAAAGGGCGGTGCAGTTGCTGCCATAGGTCGGAATAGAGGAAAAATTGGGATTATGTAATGTAGTGTAGTCACATTTTAATGACCTAAAAGGCTGTGCTCAGGCTTTGTTGTTATCCTTTATACATTCTTTATGTATAGTAATTTTTTAATTTTAACCAATGAGTCCTAATTTGCAGGCTTTACCTTTTTTTGTATGTGGCAGAATTTTAGCAGCGGCTGCTATTCAACCTCTCAAAGTAGCTCATCATTGGTCTAAAAGTGCATGTTTTGATGTATACAGAGTCTGCGTTCCCAAACAGCTCTGTAATGGCAACACCTTTGTGAGCTTTCAAACTAATGTTGGTTTGATGTGTTTTGGCTCTTGGAAATGAATTATCTCCAGTTCTTCAGAACTGACTTACAAGGTTTGGTGTTAAGATCAAAACAGAGTATAATATAAAAGTTATGTCCTACAGCAACAGGACTGCAGTTATACCAAATGGTAAAGCTAAAACAAAGGAAGGCAAATATGTTTAAAATTGGTTAGATATCAACTTATATGTTGGGGTAGACCCTAGTCAGGCTTTGCTGGTGTGAAATTCAGGTTAACATCAAAGCATTGCCTTAATGCGTGGAACAAAGGTCTCAGAAAGTCAATCCAGGACCCTACTGCTGGTAAAGTACCAATTAGCAGATTGCTTCACATATCCAAGTAAAAAGGCAATTTTTGGTAACAGTTTATCAGCACATTCTTGGCATGGAAAAAAGAGCCCATTTACACATGCTTTCCAAATCACAACACACAGTGAAGGAAGGAAGAAATCTGTCTTTTACATGTTCACATCCACGATCCACAAATGGGTGTCTCATGGTCTGAAGGACGATAACAGGCTACCTTTTCAGGGCCCCTGGTTTAGAAGGTGAGCCTGGGAGACATTTTAACCTAATGCACATTAAAACCAGTGTAATATCAATAAAAGTTGAATGATCAAAGGATGAATGAGAACTGTAGGCATAAAAGGGTAATGAAGGAAATGTGGTGTAGTGAGGAGATACTGGAAGGTCCTGGCTTTGAAGTGTCATTCCTGAGAACAACGTTGGGTACTGCTGACACTGTCATTATTTAGGCCTGTATCAGAAAGGATTGGCCTCAAGATCACTCACAGACATGTAGCATCACTCAAAGACATGGGAGACACTGATGCACAACCATGTGCTCCATGCGCAGGAAATGGCAAGTAACCGAGGTATGCAGAGGAACAATGACAATGTGATGAGACTTGGTGTTTGTTTATAGTTTTCCATCTGCTACAAAAGGAAGGTAGGAAGGAAAGGATAATAAGGAAAGTGAACTACTTGTCATTGTGACACAGCACACCACTGTACACAATGAACTGTGACCTCTGCTTTTAACCCATGACCAAAGTGAACAGTGGGCAGCTTTAAGCGCCCGGGGAGCAGTGTGTGGGGACGGTGCCTTGCTCAGAGCACCTCAGTGGTAAGTTGCCAGCTGGTGGACTCGAGTCCGCTACCTTAACAACTAAAAAGGGAAGATTGATTGTAAAAGTTAAAGACAATCATTTCAAGGTCTTCTAATTAAGTACAAATTGAGATAAAGAAATATTTTAAGAACACTTTTAGGTGCAGAAATGGAGACGTGATGCCAGGGCCTTAGACAGGGTGTGTTCAGATCACACGTGTCTGGTTCCTGAAATCTTGATTGGTCAAAAAACAAAAAGATAAAGCAGACAAGATGGCAATCACAAATGAGCTTTTGTTGTGTTGCGCTCACATGTCGAAAGTGTTGATTCACTTTTAGAAGGGTTCACTCCAGTGGTCTGACACCAGCTCTTTGACTGAGCATAAGCACTCTTGCTTGGTTTACACAGCGTAAAGTGTTTTGAAGTCACGCCACGGACATATTATGTATACATAGAACACATAAAATCCTATCCGCTTTGAAAACATCCATCCATCCATTTTCATCTGCTTATCCGTTATGGGGTCCCGGGTGCAGCAGTTTCCATGACCGCCACCCAAATCACACTGCACCGTACCAACCCCCCTGAACCTTCCTGCGGGTGGTGAGTGCACCCTAACCGGGATTCGATCTTGCCCAGGAGGTGAACCCTGGGGTTCTACACCAATGACAGAGACATTGCCTCTGGGCCAAAGCGCCACCTCTTTGAAAATATTACTTGTGAAACCTCCATCATAACCATACACTGGGGGCTGTTACAGTGTTATGTAATTTCCCCAACGCTGCCATAATCCCTCTTATGCAGAGTGAGCCCCCATGTGACAGCCCTGAGCGGTTAAGGGAGACCAGGTGGCTGCTGGGTGCTTTCCATTGACTCAGGCCACAACCACACATTCACAAATAGATGCATTGAAATGTTTAAAGAACCTGCTAGATATTTTCATGATTAGAATAAAGCAAATGTTTGTATAGTGATGCTTGGTAGTATTTTAAATACATCCACACTTCTCATAACTAACCCTTCCTTCTTTGTCTTCTGCCACAGGAACCGTCAATGTGGACTTCATCTGGTCATTTGACGAGTCACATATAGGAGCTCCGGCGTTTCTCCAGTCCATTCTTCCCTTCCCTCAGTTCAATTGTGCTCTCTGATCCCTCTTTTGCCCTTCCTCAAAGATTCACAATGCTCATCAAAGAGTACCACATACCCATGCCCCTGAGTGTGGAGGAGTATCGTATTGCCCAGCTTTATATGATCCAGGTGAGGTCACAAACCCGTGCTGCACATTAGAGTCGTGTCCCACCAGGCAAATGAATTTGTCAGGTGAAAAGTAAGACAGTTAAATCTAAGTTGAAATCAAAAGTGCGACTGAGGTGTACTTAATTATCAAATGATTAGTCACATGGTGTCTGGCTCGGGTGAAGTAACTGAACAAAGAGAGATTCACTGATAGATTGTCTAATTTGTACTCTCTGAGGCGGGTTGTTTTACATTTGTCATGGGCTGCATGTGCCTTCAATAGGATGCTAGCTCCTGGATGTTTTGTCTGTCTCAGGTTCAGTTTTATTCATCCAAGCAGGCTGCATGTTGAAGTATACCGTGGGGTTCTGTGCATAGGCCTGTAGGAGTTAGCAGCTGCAGCAAAGGCTGGTTTATTAAGCTTACATTCTGCTGTGCAGCAACACCTCTTCTCTTCATATAGGATGTGTACCAGGATTTATTTTTTAATCCAGTGCCTGCCAGGTGCTACAGTACACAAAAGAGTCCTGGTGCGCAATTGCAACAACACACCCTGGGATGATTGTTGTTTCCACCTTGTACAAGTTTACACTGCTTAGGTTGTTGTCACTGGAGCACCATCAACCACCAAACACCAAGCTCCTTTGTGATGTTATGTGAAGCATGAAAATCCTACAATTGTTAAATCCCTTTTTCAGGGGTTGCCACAGCAAATCATTGATTTCCATCTCTCCCTGTTCTCTGTATCTTCTACTCTGACTCCAACTACCTGCATGTCCTCCCTCACTGCATCCATATATCTCCTCTTTGGCCTTCCTCTCTTTCTCCTACCTGGTAGCTCCATCTCTAACATTCTTCTACCAATGTATCCACTGTCCCTCCTCTGCACATGTCCAAACCATCTCAATCTGGCTTCTCTAGCTTTTTCTCCAAACCTTCCTGTCTGTGTTGTCCCTCTAATGACCTCATTCCTGACCCTGTCCATTCTTGTCACTCCTAAAGAGAATCTTAGCATCTTTAACTCTGCCACCTCCAGCTCCTCCTCCTGTCTTCTGCCTATTGCTACTGTCTCTAAACCATACATCATGGCTGGTCTCACCACTGTCCTGTAAACCTTTCCCTTCACCTTAGCTGACACTCTTCTGCCACCGATCACTCCTGACACTTTTCTCCAGCTGTTCCATCCTGCCTGTACTCTATTCTTCACCTCTCTTCCACAGTCTCCGCTGCTCTGAACAGTTGATCCTAAGTACCTAAACTCCTGCACCTTCACCACCTCTGCTCCTTGTAGCCTCACTATTTCACTGTTCTGCCTTTCGTTTACACACATGTACTCTGTCTTGCTGCGACTGACCTTCATTCCTCTTCTTTCTAGTGCAAACCTCCACCTCTCTAGGTTCTCTTCTAGCTGCTGCCTACTCTCACTACAGATCACAATGTCATCTGCAAACATCATAGTCCATGGGGACTCCTGTCTGACCTCATCTGTCAATCTGTCCATCACCACAGCAAACAAGAAGGGGCTCAGGGCCGATCCTTGATGTAGTCCCACCTCCACTTTGAAGTCTTCTGTCCTCCCAACAGCGCACCTCACTACTGTTGTACTATTCTCATACATGTCCTGCACCAAACTAACATACTTCTCTGCCACTCCTGACTTCCTCATACAAAACCACAATTCCTCCCTTGGCACTTTGTCATATGCCTTTTCTAGATCTACAAATACACAATGCAGCTCCTTCTGACCTTCCCTGTACTTCTCCATCAACATCCTCAAGGCAAATATTGCATCTGTGGTACTCTTCCTAGGCATGAAACCATACTGTTGTTCACAAATCTCCACTTCCTGCCTCAACCTAGCTTCAACTACTCGTTCCCAAATCTTCATTGTATGGCTCATCAACTTTATCCCTCTGTAGTTGTTACAACTCTGTGCATCACCCTTCTTATGAATTGGCACCAGAACACTTTTTCTCCACTCATCAGGCATCTTGCCAGTCTCTAAAATTCTGTTAAACAAACCAGTCAGGAAATTTACTGCCACTTCTCCTAAACACTTCCATACTTCCACTGGTATGTCATCAGGACCAACTGACTTTCCACTCTTCATCCTCTTCAGGGCTTTTCTAACTTCATCCTTTCTAACCTGATCTACCTTCTTCCTACTAGTCTCTGGCTCCTCGTTTCTACTTTCCCTTTCATTTTCCTCATTTAACAACTCCTCAAAGTATTCCTTCCATCTTCTCAGCACACTTTCCTCACTTGTGATCACATTCCCCTCTCTGTCCTTAATCAACCTCACCTGCTGCACATCCTTCCCAGCTTGATTTCTCTGTCTCGCCAATCTATACAACTCCTTTTCTCCTTCCTTTGTTTCCAAACTCTCATACAACTCCTCATATGCCTTTTGTTTGGCCTTGGCCACTTCCCTCTTCACCTCCCTTGTCCTCTCTTTGTACTCCAGTCTGTTCTCTTCTGTTCTGTCACTGTCCCATCTCTTCTTCGCTAATCTCTTTCTCTGCACACTCTCCTGGATCTCCTCATTCCACCACCAGGTCTCTTTGTCCTCCTTTCTCTGCCCAGAGGACATACCTAGCACCTTCCTACCTGTCTCCCTCATCACTGCAGCTGTAGTCTCCCAATCATCTGGGAATATCTCAACACTACCCAGAACTGCCCTTACTTCCTTCCTGAAGTCTTCACAACATGTCTCTTTCCTTAGTTTCCACCACTTGATCTTCTGCTCTGTCTTCACTCTCTTCCTTTTTGTCACCTCCATCGTCATTTTACACACTACCATCCGATGTTGTTTGGCTACACTCTCACCTGCCACCACCTTACAGTCTCTAATCTCCCTCAGATTACATCTTCTACATAGAATATAATCTATCTGTGTGGACCTGCCTCCACTCTTGTAAGTCACCCTATGTTCCTCTTTCTTTTGGAAATATGTGTTTACCACAGCCATTTCCATTCTCTTTGCAAAATCTACCACTGCCTGTCCTTCTACGTTTCTCTCCCTAACACCAAACCTGCCTATCACTTCCTCATCTCCTCTGTTCCCTTCCCCTACATGACCATTTAGGTCTGCTCCAATCACCACTCTCTCTCTCCTGGGGATACTCTCTACCATCCAATCTAGCTCCTTCCAGAACTTCTCCTTTTCTTCCAACTCACAGCCCACCTGTGGGGCATAACCACTAACAACATTAATCATCTCTCCTTCTACTTCTACCTTCACACACATCAACCTGTCTGACTCTCTTTTCACCTCTACCACATTTCTTACATATTCTTCCTTTAGGATCACCCCTACTCCATTTCTCTTCCCATCTGAACCATGATAAAACAGTTTGTAGCCTCCTCCAATGTTTCTAGCCTTACTGCCCTTCCACCTGGTCTCCTGCACACACAAAATATCTACTCTTCTTCTCTCCATCACATCAGCTATTTCTCTGCTTTTCCCTGTCATTGTACCTACATTCAAAGTTCCAAACTTCAGACTAACACTTCTATTCTTCATCTTTTCTCTTTTCTCCTAACCAAACGCCCTCCTCTTCTTCTCTGTCTCTGGCTCTGACTCTGACTCTGGTTGCAGGCCTGTTTGTTCAGGTTTTATCTGATTGTCTCTTTGGACAGAGCATCACATCCACAAAAAGCCACTTACTTACTTTTTAGAAAAACCCCAAATAGCTCGGTCCAACATTTATTATTACTATTATTTTATTCAAAATGTGTAAAAAAAACAACAAACATTTACAAAATTATTTTTTGTGCTAGTGTCAGTCTTAATAGGCGTGGGAAAGTGCAGGGACCACAAAGGAAAGGAACATTTTATTGCAAATGATGACATGGCATGGAAAACCTTTTGGAACACCAGATTCAGTATCTCAATCAATCAATCAAACAGTCATTTTGGATGCGTCATTGCTAAATGTATTGTAATGTAATGTAATGTAACAGGAATCTGACTGTTTAGAATTTTGTAGTAATTGTTAATTCCTTTCTTGTTATATTTTCAACATAACCAAAAACCCAACACCATGATATTAGGGCTCTTCACTGAGGCTCTTGTACCGTAAGACTACAGTCTAAGCCCTTAAAGAGTAGCATATCCTGTAGTGTTTATAATTGAGAGCTATAGCAGAGAGACATTAGCCTGGGTCATTGAAGTGTGTGTCGAGCAAATTTGAATCAGTTCTACCTGAAGCCTTGGTGTATTTTTGTAGGAAGACATTGTTTTAGAACTGTGTGAATGACAGAAGTGTAATTAAAACGTGAATTATGATGCATTCTCAAAGAGTACACATAAGAATTATCGTAGGTCCACGTCAGTCTCTAATTACACTCTGTACGACACACCCAAATAAGGACACCTAAGGACTTGAGTATCATTCATCGTCTACTCTTAAAAAAGGATTTTGTTGAAGACATTATACTATAGATGTCCAGCCTGTGAGGAGAGGGTGCTCCATTAAAGAGAATAAACATTTAAGGCTTCTGGAAAAAAAAAACATGGGATCACTGACTTTCTACTGAGATGTTTCTCCAACAGCTGTTCATTATACGAATTTAATTAGTATTTACGTGTTATTATGTGTCAACAAGTTTAAATGATAACCACTCATAGTAGAACACAGCATTGCTGATATGTTCACCTGCGTTGCCTCAGAAAGCCTTGCTTTTTTTTTGGTACTATTTAGACTTACATTCTAGTACCAATCACAGGATTAGTGTTATATATATATATACAAATACTTTGTTTTCCAGTCTACAAACATGCTGTCTGATGATTACCACACCTCATGGTTGTGTGGTTTGACCTCAGACTGTTCATGTGACAACTCGTCTGCTGTCAAGTTGTTTTTCTTAATTTCTGTCCTTGGTCGTACATGAAACAGCTCAGGTAATTACTGTAAGTTGAGGAGTAGATGGTTAAGAACATGACTCAGTGGACATGCCTCACAGAAAGCACACTTTTCGAGACAGGTTGGCATCCTATTGGACAGTGAACAGTGTAC